TGAAAGTGCCATGGGCTGCTAAAAGAACCAGCATATCTGTGTTGGAAGAAGTTCAGCCAGAGTGCTCCTTGGAGGTCAGGATGCCCAAACTTCATCTCTAATGCTTCAGATATATTGTCAGGAGAGACCAGTCACTGGAGAAGTATATCATATTTGGTAAGGTGGAGGGTCAGAGAAAAAGAGAAAGATCCCCAATGAGATGGATTGGCCAAGTGGCAGCATCAATGGGCTCAAGTGTGGTAACAATTGTGAGGTTGGCCCAGCCAGGACCAGACAGTGTTTCATTCTGTTGGTCACTATGAGTCGGTACCAACTCGATGACAACTGACAACAACAACAACCAACTTTTCAATCTAAATTGATCAAACATGCAAATGAGATGCATTGATAATTATTGGTGATTAGAATGTGAAGGTTAGAAACAAAGTAGAAGGATCAATAATTAGAAAATATGGCCTTGGTGATACAAAATGATGTTGGAGATCCTATGATAGAATTTTGCAAAACCAATGACTTTTTCATTGCCATTATCTTTTTTCAACAACATCAATGGTGACTTCACCAGATGTAATACACAGGGTCAAATAGTTACATCTGTAGAAAGGGCAATGGAAAGTACAGTTTATCATCAGCCAAAATAAGGCCAGGAACCGAATATGAAACAACGATCAGTTGTTTCTATGCAAGTTTGGGCCAAAGCTGAAGAAAATTATAATAAGTCCAAGAAAGCTAAAATACAACCTTGAGTATATTCCACTTGAATTTGGAGACCATTTCAAGAATGGATTTGAGACTGAAACTCAAAGGGAACACATGAGCAGGTACCTAAGATGGCTAGTGACCACATGGGTCTGCTTGTGAGTAGAAGAGGGGGAAAGGCAGCAATGATGATATGGGCTGAGTTTGACCACATTCCATAGACTCCCATTAACCTGGAGATGAGAAAGAAAAGGGAAAGGGCTGGTTGGTCCAAAGTGCAGTGAGACCTGGGAACTCCTGAGCCTATGGACAAGGACATAACCACGGAGGGCTAGAGCTGAGAGTGAAGTGTCCAGCTGACATGAAGTGAAGGGAGATGTACAAGAACACCCAAACTTGCAGATAGTACCCATTTGACCTAGTCTCGATGGCTTGATAATCAGAACTGAATTAGAGGAAGATTACCAAAAAAAAAAAAAAAAATTTTTTTATAAAGGAAACAAGTGTAAATTGCTACAATTTGATGAACTTGACCTATACTTCTAGAGGTAGTAACTCTAAATACCAACAGAGAGGGAAGGAGTTTTCACATAATGTATCAACGCTATTCCCTCTGTACACAGGGTAGATAGGGATGGACAACTTAGATACTGGCTAACTAAAATGAGGGGGCAATAAAGCCACAAAGTGACTGGCTTACAAGGTTTCAAGAGGGAATTTAATATAAGAGTGGGGGGTGCAGAAAGGGTCCCCATTGAATAGTTGTCATCTTGTCTAGATGTTGTTGTTGCTGTTAGGTGCCATCGAGTTGGTAGGGACTCATAGCGACCTTATGCACAGCAGAACAAAACACGGCCCGATCCTGGGCCAAGCTCACTATTGTTGCCACACTTAAGTCCATTGATGCTGCCACTTGGCCAGTCCATCTCATTGGGGGTCTTTCTCTTTTTCTCTGACCCTCCACATTACCAAACTTGATATCCTTCTCCATTGACTGGTCCCTCCTGACAATATGTCTGAAGTATGAGAGATGAAGCTTAGCCATCTTGGCCTCCGAGGAGCACTCTGGCTGAACTTCTTCCAAAACAGATCTATTGGTTCTTTTAGCAGCCCATGGCACTTTCAATATTCTCCTCCAACACCATAACTCAAAAGCATCAGTTCCTCTATGGTCTTCCTTATTGACTGTCCAGCTTGTGTAGATAGGTCTGGTTAAAAGAGATGGGGAAGTTCGAGCTGCGGTCCCGTGGGTCTGTGTCTTGCTTCAACAGTGTTTGGACAGAACAGATCTGGGTACTCCCCCACCTCCTGCCTCGGACCACCTCTAACAACTTCTTTGGGCACAATCTCGTCTCCAGGACCATCTTCTTGAGCATTCCCTGTTACTGGGACCAGCTAAACCATTTGTGTGTGTGTGTGTGTGTGGTTAGTTCCAAATCTTCGACCAACCATGAGCTCTCAGATCCGTCAGAATTATTCCACTGAAGCAGAGGCCGGCGTCAACCGTCTGGTTAGTATGCATCTGCGGGTCTCTTACACCTACCTGTCTTTGGGCTTCTATTTCAATCACGATGATGTGGCTTTGGAAGTTGGCGAAGGAGAAGTGTGAGGGTGTTGAAACTGCAAAACCAGCGTGGTGGTCGTGCACTCTTCCAGGACGTGCAGAAGCCCTCCCAAGATGAGTGGGGAAGAACCCTGGACACTATGGAAACCACCCTGGCCGTGGAGAAGAACCTGAACCAGTCTCTTCTGGATCTGCACGCTGTGGGTGCTACCCACACAGACCCCCACCTCTGTGACTTTCTAGAGACTCATTTCCTCGACGAGGAGGTGAAAATTATCAAGAAGATGAGCGACCACTTGATCAATGTCCGTCGGATGGCTGGTCCCCAGGCAAGGCTGGGCGAATACATCTTCGAGAGGCTCACTCGCAAACTCGACTAAGAAGAGCCTATGGAGCCCCACAACTTGTGAAGGGCCTTCAGCATTACCCTGCTCTCCCGCATACCTTCTGCCTGAACCTTCCTCTGCAGACAGAGGCAGCATAGTCAACACCCTGGAGCCCCTCTTCGCCCAAGCGGTGGACCAAATGAAAACAATAAAGCTTCCTTTTACAGCAAAAAAAAAAAAAGAGAGAGAGAGATAGGGGATAAGATTCTTATGATTCAATAGTGAGTAATTGTTATCATGACTAATTGCAACCGTCACAATTGTAAAGGTAGAAGTTTTGTCACAAATATGAAGTGACAAGACCGCTCAGATTTGTAGGTAATACTCATTTCACCTAGCCTTGATGATCAGAATTCGACTGGAGAAAGATAAAAAAAAATTTTTTTATAAAGGAAACAAGTGTAAATTGCTGCAATTTGATGAGCTTGATCTATACTTATGAATGTAGTGTCTCAAAATATCAACTGAGACGGAAGGAGTCTTCACATCAAGGATCAATCCTATATCTTCTGTATACAGGGTTGATAGGGACAGGCAACTTAAGACATAGGCTATTTAAAATGTGGGGGCTATAAAGACACGAAGTGACTGGCTTGCAAGTTTTCAAGGAGTTTAGTTTCAGAATGTGCAGAGGAAGGTAGAATCCCCAGTGAAGTTTTCATCTTGTCTAGACAGGTCTGGTGAAAGGAGATGGGATAAGATTCTTATAATTCAATAGTGCATATTGTTATCATGACTAATTGTGACTGTCACTACTGTAAAGGTAGAAGATTTGTAATAAAAAGGGGGGGGGATGTTGTTGTTGTTAAGTGCAATTGAGTCAGTTCTAACTCATAGCGACCCTGTATAGGGTTTCCGAGGAACAGTTGGTGAGCTTGAACCACCAAATTTGCAGTTCAAACAGCTTTGCAGTCTGGTGCATTAACCCACAGCTCCACACCAGCTCCTTAAGTCCAGGAACCCTATGACCATCAAGTGGAATGTGGGGCCCTATCCAGAGAAGCAGCAACATCAGAGATGGAGGCAGAGATGAGGACATGGAGAGAAAAAGAAGCTGAAGACTCTAGACTCATGAAAGAGAAAGACTGTGTTAGTGGACTGGAGGCAGTCTTACAGAATGTGCCCTTTGATTGTTTAAATGATTATATATTCCTGAGTGTTTCTGTGTATATCCTCTCCACCAACCTCAACCCTACCCTCCAAAAAAAAATGGAGGGAATAGAAGCAAATACTGTTGAATGATGATGCACCGAGGGAATTGTAATCATTGCAATGAAACAATGAGTGTAAAATTGATGTTCTCCCATGTAAACTATCACTCAATTCACAATAAAAACTTTAAAAGTAAATCAATAAAAATAAAAGATCCCGCTATTCAGATACTGAAAAAAAATTTTTCAATAGATTTGACACACTTATCAGATGACACGAAGAAAATCATACATGAAGAAAGCATAAGGTCATTAAAAAGAAAGAAAAGACTAAAGCAGATGTCAGAAAAGACTCTGAAACTTGTTCTAGAGCATAAAGAAGATAAAGTGAGTGGAAGAAACTATGACATAAAAGAGTTGAACAAAAGATTTCAACGGGTGGCTGAAGAAGCCAAAGGATTATAATTAAATGTACAAAGACCTGTAGTGAGAAAGCCAAAGAACATATTCACCATTTCTCAAGCTGGAAAAGCTGAAGAATTCAAGACATCAACTTGTAATATTGAAGAATTCTATGGGCAACATATTGAGCAAGCAGGAATCATCAAGATAATATGGAAGCTATACACAGAGTCACTATACCAAAGAGTTTGTCACTGTTTAGCCATTTCAGGAAGTATCATATGATCAAGAACCTATGGTACTGAGAGAAGAAGGTCAAGCTGCACTGGAGGCATTGGTGAAAAATAAGGCTCTAGGAAATGACAGAATACAAATTGAAATGTTTTAGCAAACAGATGCCTCACTGAAAGTACGCACTTGTCTATGGCAAGAAATTTGAAATACAGCTACCTGGCCAACTGACTGGAAGAAATTCATATTTATACCCATTCCAAGGGGAGAACAGTGGCTACATACATTAAACACTGGACTGTAAATCACAAGGTCCACAGTTCGAGCCTGCCAGACACTCTGCAGGAGAAAGATAAGGTTTTCTGCTCCCATGAAGATGTAAAGACTCAGAAACCCTATGTAGGGTTGCTATGAGTCAGAACCAACTCCATAGCACTTAACAGCAACAACAACAACCCACTCCAAAGAAATATGACCCAACAAAATCAAAAACATTTTGAAAAATATCACACACATGTAAAATTTTGCTGAAGATAATTTAAAAATGGTTGCAGCAGTACATAGACAGGGAACTTGCAGAAATTCAAGGCAGATTCAAAGACATGGAACAAGACTAACACTGCTAATATCAAATGGATCTTGGCTGAAAGCTGAGGATACCAGAAAGACATTTCCTTGTATTTTACTGACTGTGCAATGACATTCAGCTATGGAGATCATAACAAGTTATGATAGCATTATGAACAATGTGCTCATACATAACCTGTACATAGACCAAGAGGCAACAGTTTGAATGAAATAGGGGGATGCTATGTGGTTTAAAATCAGGAAAGGTGTGCATCAGGGTTATATCCTTTTGCCATATCCATTCAATGTGTATGCTGAGCAAATAATCTGAGAAGGTGGACTATAAAAAGAAGACTGCAGTATCAGGATTGGTGGAAGTTTTATTAACATAACAATCTGTGATATACATTTGACACAACCTTGCTTGTTTAAGTAAAGACTTCTAGAAGTATTTACTGATGAAGATCAAAGACTACAGTCTTCAGTATGAATTGTCAGCAGTTCAAAACTACCAGCTGTTCTGTTAGAGAAAAATGAGACTTTTGCTCCCATGAAGATTTACAGCCTTGGAAACCCTATACAGGGTTGCTATGAGTCGGAACCAACTCCACGGCACATAACAAATCAACCATAAAGAAAGCAAAATTCCTCACGATTGGACTAATAAACAACATTATGATAAACAGTGAAAAGATTTAAGTTGTCAAGCATTTCATTCAGCTTGGATCCAGAATCAATGCCCATGGAAGCAGCAGTCAAGAAATCAAACAAAGTATTGCATTGGGCAAATCTGCAACAAAAGACCTCTTTATAACACAGTATTAAAGAGCAAAGATGCCACTTTGAGTATTAAGATCCCCCTGACCCAATTCCTTCCCATCCTTGTAAAAGGTGAAAAATGAATAAGAAAGACTGAAGAAGTATTGGTTCATTTGAATTACTGTGCTGGCCAAGTATACTGAATATGTAACATGAAGTGCCAGCACAAACAAATCTGTCTTGAAAGAAGTACAATCAACTTGCTCCTTAGAAATGTGGTTGGTGAGACTCAAAAAGGACATCATGTTTGATAGACAGCAGCAAAGAGGAAGTCCCTTAGAGAGATGATTTGACACAGTGACAACAACAATGAGCTCAAACATGGCGATGATTATGAGAATGGCACAGGACCATTTGCTCTGTTGTACACAGAGTCGCTATGAGTTAGAATGTACTTATTGGCATCAGTAAACCATTATCTTCTTTTCAAAATCTTCCTCTGGGAAGACTGGGTTCTTCAATCCTCTTTCTCAAGCTCCATTATATAGCGAATTTTACACTGAACACAAAAGTTTTATCTCTACCTGCATTATTCAAACATATGCCAAGAAAAATCAACATGCAAGGTAATACAAAGGAAATGTATTTAATGCCCCATTCATATTATCAGAACACATATTTTCCTGTGTTGTTCTAAAGTAAAGTACATCGAGATAGATCAGAAAAACTAAGCAGGTGAGCACCTGCATGCTGAGCCTTCCTCTGTACTTTAGGCAGCTGTGTAGCTTGAGGAAGTCACTTAAACTTTCTAGGACACACTTCCTCATCTATAAAAAGAGGACCAAATTTTTACATTGCCCATTTGTACAGTAAAAAGCTAACTTAGAACACAGACAAACACTTTGCAAACTATATGAGATCAAATTTACAACAGTGATTAGAAAGGTTAAATATGAAATTGGGGAAGCAGTGAGTTTAATGGATGAGAAGCTATTTAGAAAAGGATGATGAGAATGGTTTACAAGTCAAAGAATTTCATCAGTACCATTGAATTGTAAATGGAGAAATTGTTGAATTGGTATGTATAAGGGGGCTCCATGGGAAAATTCATGATTTTTTTCATTTAATTCTTCAGTAAGTTTTTAGATTGCTCTAGTATTTGGCTGTATATATTTTCAAAGACAATTTTTTTAATGAGTTTTTTTCTTAAGGAATGTTTTCCTTTTATTTAGTTAGTTAAGTTTTTATTGTGAACTGAGTGATAACTTACAAGGGAAAAATCAGATTTACCCCCATCATTTCACTGCATCATCATTCAACAGTATTTGCTTCCGTTTCCTGTGTTTTTTGTTTTTGTTTTTGTTTTGGGGGAGATGTACACAGAAACACTCATGAATATATAATCATTTAAACAACCAAAGGGCACATTCTGCAAGCCTGCCACCTGGTCAGCAGCATGCGGGCCTTCTCTTTCCATGAGTCCAGAGTCCTCAGTTGCTCCCTCTCTCCATGTACTCATCTCTGCCTCCATCTTTGGTGTCACTGTTTCTCTGGATAGGGTCCCACACTCCACTTGTGCTCTTCTCCCTTGATTGTCCTAGGGTCCTCTGTTCTGGGCTGCAAGATTAACTACTCCTCAATTTTTGTTACAAAACATCTACCTTTACAGTTGTGAGAGTCTCAATTAGTCATGATAACAATTACTATTGAATCATAAGAATCTTATCCCTATCTCTTTTCACCAGACCCATCTAGACAAGATGAACACTAGTTAGTGGGGATGCTTTCTCCCCTCACCCAACACTGTTAAACTAAAGTTCCTCTTGAAAACTTGTAAGCCAGTCACTTCATGCCTCTATCACCCCTCATTTTAGGTAGCCAATG